CTATACATATTTCTATATTTATTTAAAATTCTTATCCTCAATTCATTCATATACCTTTGCTTCAGTTTTAACTTTATTTCATCTATATATTTACATTTTAATTCCCATTTTAAGACTTTTTGATATTTAACCTTAAGTTTTGGTTTTAAGATTTTTTGATATTTGTTCTTCAGTTTTGGTTTCAATACATTTTGATATTTGTCTTCAAGTTTTGGTTTCAATACATTTTGATATTTGTCTTCAAGTTTTGGTTTCAATACATTTTGATACTTGTCTTCAAGTTTTGGTTTCAATACATTTTGATATTTGTCTTCAAGTTTTGGTTTCAATACATTTTGATATTTGTCTTCAAGTTTTGGTTTCAAGACATTTTGATATTTGTCTTCAAGTTTTGGTTTCAAGATATTTTGATATTTGTCTTCAAGTTTTGGTTTCAATAAATGTTGATATTTGTCTTCAAGATTTGGTTTCAATACATTTTGATATTTGTCTTCAAGTTTTGGTTTCAAGATATTTTGATATTTGTCTTCAAGTTTTGGTTTCAATAAATGTTGATATTTGTCTTCAAGTTTTGGTTTCAAGACATTTTGATATTTGTCTTCAAGTTTTGGTTTCAAGACATTTTGATATTTGTCTTCAAGTTTTGGTTTCAATACATTTTGATATTTGTCTTCAAGTTTTGGTTTCAATACATTTTGATATTTGTCTTCAAGTTTTGGTTTTAATACATTTTGATATTTGTCTTCAAGTTTTGGTTTCAATACATTTTGATATTTGTCTTCAAGTTTTGGTTTTAGTATTGTTTCATATTGAGTATGTAGTATAGACCTTAATTGATTTGTATATTTTCTTTTTAAATGAGCTTTAATATAACTAATCTGATATTGTTTTCTCCTCCTTTTATTCAAACTATTAATTTCCCTTTTGGTTCTAAATGCAAGTTTCCAGTTTGATCTGACTTTTTGCCCAGAATTTAGTTCTTTCTTTACTAAATGATAGTTTTGAAAATAAATACTTCGCTTTTTAATAGATCTCCATCTACTACCTCGTTTCTTTTTCAAATGTTTTCTTTTACCTGATAGTTGTGTTTCTACATTATCATCAATAACTATAATAGGTTCATTTGTTTCAACATTTTCAACCACTTCATAATGATTCTCATCTCTATGGTGAAGATAAATAGCTTCTGGTGTATAACTATTGTTAATCTGTAATACAGGATATTTCAACCATTTATTATTAGTAAATATATATATATCTGTTTGTAACAAATCACAAGCTGCCAATATCTCAAATTCTGTACCCCACGTTCCTTGCATTCTCATTCTAGAACGTTTAATATAGTCATCAATAGATTGATATTGTTCTCTTAATAAAGGTGTGAAAAAATCTGCCTTTGATTTTATATGGTT